AATTAACAAATGTAGATAAATTACAATATCAGGTAACACTTCTTAGTAATAAGACCAGTGCAGGTGCGGGGCTGGAGGATAGGGCACGGCTAGGGCAAAGAAACCCAAACGTAAAAGTGTCTACACCAATAAAGAAACTGGAAAAATGACCAACGCCCCAATGTGCGCAGCAGTCTTATATACCTGCAGAGGGCACCCAACCAAAAAGGTATTAAAAAAATTTGAGAAGTGTGCACTGTATACCCACAGTTGGAGCTCAGGCAACTGTTACAAATGCTTGCTGACCACAAGAATTAACCACTTGACTCTCGGGTGTGAAATAACAACATTAATTTGTTTCCTGGCAGGTATGTGGATTCTGGGCCCGGCCATGTGCAACATCTGGGTGAGTCTGGACGTGCTTTGTTGTACTTCCTCTATCCTACACATTTGCACCATCTCGCTGGATCGTTACCTGGCCATCTGCAATCCTTTCTCTACCCAACGACGCTCTCGCTTTCAGACTCCCAGCAAGATTGTCGTCGTCTGGATGATCAGTGGGCTTCTCTGCAGCCCCATCTTTGTCCTGGGGTTCCTGTCCTCGGCCCAGGTCCTGGACATGGAGGTCTGCACTCTGACCAATCGGCTGTTCATGATCTACGGATCCATCGTCGCTTTCTATATTCCACTGGTGATTGTGGTTGTCACTTACAGCCGGACGGCTCACGCACTGAACAAGAAGGCCCAGGCATTTGCAACCCCAAAAGCACAACGTCTGTCTAAACATTCAAGTGAGAACGTAAATCAAAAGAGCAAGAGCACCCTACGTAAGGCCATCTCCTGGTTATACCAAACTGTGGACACCAATGAAAACAGCCTCAATGAGTACAGCTCATTCAACTCTTCTGGGAAGCTTCCCGAAGAGGAAAGCGTGCCTGTGACTGACCCTATCAAGAGGCTTAAAGCAGAGACCCTGACTCTCAACAGCAGTCCTAGGATCCTTCGGCCGGCCAGCCATGTGGGCAGAGCCCTGGACAGGACGGTCATCGAGATGCGAAGATCCACCTCTGGCACGTTGTGCAAGGGCCGCCGCTCCAAGATCAACACGGAGCGCAGGGCCAGTAAAGTCCTGGGGCTGGTCTTTACAGCCTTCGTGATCGGCTGGACGCCGTTCTTTCTTGCCAACTTCCTCTATGCCCTTTGCCCTTCCTGCCAGATCAACCTGACAGTCTTCTCCGTCTTCGAGTGGTTGGGCTGGTCCTCCAGCATGGTTAATCCCTTCATCTACACAATCTTCAACAAGACCTTCCAGAAGACTTTTTGGAAACTTCTCACATGTCAGCAGTCTCACAGGAGAAGAATGCGTCATACTAGTCGCAAGAGACAGACCATAATTGTTGACATAAAACCTCCTAGTCCAAAAGTTGAGTCAGTTTAGACATGAAAAAGGAGACAGTGAGTTACTGAGTAAAACGTGACCACAGTGAGCCAGTTTGAGGTTTCTAAAATATAGGTCTTTCGAGAACAGATCATTTGAAATTGCACCAGTCTGAACACATCATTGCATATCTGACGAACCTACAAATATGAAATATCACCGTTTTTGAGAAAAACAGATTTTTAGTTAAGCAGTTACTGCACGCTCATTTTCGATATTAAATTCAACCCACTTTTGATTTATGTATACAAAACTGGTCTTTGAAATCATTTCCTAATTTATATTTTTGGCTCAATGAGCAATACTTTGTTCGAATACTGCTGTCCAACCTATTCGTCAGTTCGTGAGATAAAATCTGAAAATCACCAGAACGGTCTATTCGTTGGTTCGTCAGATATGCGATGACATTCAGTACATGTGAATCAGCACACGGTCGCACTGATAGGGTCAATGACATGCACATGTATTGATGTTCTTGAATGACCAATGTCGAGCTCCAGTTTTTGGCATGCACTGAACTGGCTTGGTGTTAAAAACTAATCATCATAAACCGGTATTTTGAAAATTATATGTCACCTTTACAGATGTGGATAGTACATGTAAATATATTTATATATATGCAAGAACAATCAGTTGTAAACTCAAAGTGTACAAGAACGTCATCAGGAATTTTTTATATTCAAAGAAATAAAAATTTTGATGGGGGGGATGGAAAGAAACACATGATTAAAGTGCTCCTGGTACTCACTAAAGGTACAGTACATGTATATATCACTGGTGACCAACAGTACTGGTCTACATTATGTAAATGCAGTGTCTGGGAAATCACTCATAGACAACACTGACAGTCCAAACTCTGACAAAACTGTCAAAGATTTCTTTAGAAGTGTGATACGGTAACAAAAGCCAAATCAGCCAATAGTACACAGTGACGTAGCACTCTCTTTTTTTCTACATCACCAAAGGAAGCTTCCTCATTATTTCCACAAAAAACAAAACAATAGAACCACTAAATCTTTGTTAAAATGCAAATTTTCTGTTTAGTTTTACCTACTGCAGTGTAAATTAGACAAGGATTAATTTCACATCGGGGATGGATTTACTCTTTGGATAATTGGTAATTGATTCTCTTGTCCGTCTTGCACCTGATGTCCAAGCCGTTAGGAGTTGGTGATTTATTCTTCTGGTATGTCGGTTTAGGCTGCCGAGGGGTAAACTCCACTTCCTATTTGCCCTCGGCATAGCATCACTGTGGATTGATAGCTATCCCATCAGACACCAAGGCTGCAGTACCAAGCGCCAATGTTGGCATGAATCAGAGTTGCACGTAAATCACAGTCAAACTCTGAGCTCGGACCGAGGAGTCAGACCTCCCTTTATCAGTTTTATGTAACCTTTTGACATCTACTTTCTCCTCGTCTGGCCGAGACAAGTGTTGATGAATGTTGCAGCCTGGCAGTTGGTGGGGGGGGGAGCTTTGTGAGGGTTTATATTTTGAAGCCGAGACTTCAAAACTGTGGGTTCGAATCCCTATCTGGGCAGTCCCACTGTGTTATTGGAAGGCAATTTTTCTTAATTCTCTGGTATTAAAGCTCTAGGTAACAAGGGCAGGTCAGGGCTTTGGCAGGGCAAGGCTTGGGCAGGTCAGGGCTTGGGCAGGGCAAGGCTTGTTAAATTTATATGAATATATAAAGAGCCCAGCGTGCCCAAGAAATACCGGTATGTCTGTGCTTAAGACCTTGGGTAAATGCCACAATGGTATACAGTTCTTGTGTCCTTGAGCTGGACACTTGACCATGTGCTGCTAGAATGAATATCTCTGAAGGGAAACTTGGTTGCAGTAAGTTGTCAATCACATTACGTTATAGGTTTGTGATGATGTGGTTTTGAAAAGGGTCAACTGTTCATGGAGTGGGAAATGCTGTAATAGTCACTAAAATGTGCAGTGTTTGCATAAAGACAAGTTAACAAAAATCCTAGATTAATTTCCTTTTCAGCACAACACATTCAGCAGGCACGTAGGAACGGGAGGGGGGAAATACATGTAGCCCCCCCCCCTGGAAATGTGGTGGAGGCACAGGTCCCCCTGCATAAGTTGTGTAATTTGCATTTTCAAAATGTGGAGAGTGTTTGTAGAAGTGTGCGACAATTGTACTCAGATCACATTGGAAAGATGGAAATTTTTAGAGAGATTTTATTTTTCTGGGACCCCCCCGGTAGAATCATCTTCCTACGGTACATGTGTGGTTTATTGTTTGAACGTCTGTTTCTGAAATTATTTTGTTGTCACGGTAAATCCACTGTTCACGTGTATACTGTACGCATATGTATTTGTGGTTTCTGGCCCTACCAAATGGCTGCTATAGCACGTTTACACTTGTTATTTATTTCAAATTACTTTCTTTTTTTGCTGGACTTTGCCGGTACCTTTTGTTTCTGTCTTTGATTTGACAGTGAAATCTAAAATGGTTTGAGAGGTTAGTCAAACCTATTCTGGCCCCACTAAAAAAAGTCATCCCATCACCTCCTCTCTTGTGGAATCTAGTGCAAACATCTACCGATTTCAATGGCATACTACATGATGAGGAGGATTGCTGGGACGACGAGGATGTTATGACCTGTCTCACAGCTTTATGCCTCAGCACCCAAGGACGCTAAATTTCTCTGGCATTTATGAGCAATGTCTGTGGCAAATCCTGACGTTTATGGTGGCCCACAGTCTCAAAACACTTCATGCATTCATAAATCAAAATGCCCCAAATAGCATGGTTTACATTTCGCTGCGGTACAAAGATTCTGTATTTTAATATTCTGACCTTCAATTTTGGTTCTCTTATTTGTTTGCTTTTGTTGTTCACTTTTGTACGTCGGGTCACATTTAAAGTATAAGAATAAATGTACATGTTTATTTAAAGCCTTACTAAGGGTGATCTTATTAAGAAAGACAGGTGCACATCGTACAAAACACAAAATAAACTCAACACTGTTGTAGTTGAGGTCTTTTAAAGACGTTTCCAAAGCCTCACTTTTTACCCCCATCAATTAATTAAATTCTGAGAGACGGCTTTAATTATGTCCAAGAGAAATGCTATGCAATGCCATTATTCACTGAAAGAATACAGACATGGTGTTCTTGAAAAGGCACCTGACTTAGAAATGTCCGTTAAATTCTAGACTGACATCTGAAATCCTGCTTGATAAACATTTCAAAGACCTCACCGCTTTGCATTATGTGAATTGTGAGTTGTGAGACAACTTTCCGTAATGTTACCACTTATTTCAAATCAGTTGTTGGAGGCCTGGGGAAATCTCACCGCTCGCTATCAGTGGCAACAATTTTTTTGAATGAAAAGTGGTCATCGGTGCACAGGTAACCCCTACTAAGGGCTGTTTTGCTTTGTAACTTTAACAGCAACTGTAAAACATAAGGGGAATGAACTTAGCCCACTGGGAATAGGGACAGCCCACGTCTCTGAGTTACACAAAGTAATGTTTCTCAGATAGCCACAACTAAGGAATTTTGAAAGGCATAACTTTTCAAAGACTAAAGCTTTGTACCGTCTTTTAAATAAAATGTTCTTACCTGAACATGATGAAGCCGAGGGAGGTGACGGCTGCGCGACGCACATCATCATCCACGTCACTGACGGCAAAGTGCAGGAGACGCCGGATAGCCTGGTTGTTGCCTGTCCCGCAGTAGGCCAGAGCAATGGTGTACATACCCGAGCGTCTTAGGATGGGGTCCTTGTCACGACACAAGCTCTCAATCAGCGGGTCGGCTTCTTCTAGACGGCCATACATCGTCTGTGACCAATGGAAAGGTGACTGTGGTTGGCACGTTTCTCTTGATCAGAGCCCGACAATGGAGAATTGCTCATTGTGTATGAAAGAAAAACCGGCTTATTCTCTATTAAGGCATACGTAAGGGATGTCAATGAAATATGACGTCTGAAATTTTGGGAAAGCAACCCAAACTTGCATGCATCTTTGGCCGCCAGAGTGCTTCTAAAATTTGCTTTTATAATTCATGTGCTCCTGTCTGTAGAATTCTGCAAAAGATAACGAGCTTCAGGCATCAGTTGACGAAGCTGAAACTCTTGAGACTTTTCAGTGATTCATTTGTTTAGTGCAAGAGGTTACTCACCAAAGCGATACCGAGACACAGGCCTCGCAGAATCTTCTCATGCTGGGTGTCTTGCGCATACTGAAAAAAAAGGAAGGCAAGAACTTTCAACCAAATCAAGGCCAAATGTCATATTGACAGATACTCCAGAATATCATCTTCCTCAAAATCTAAGAAAGCGGACATTGCTCTCGGGGTTCTGTTCTGAAAACTTTGCGGATTACTTACGCTGACCATGTCCTCGATGGCTGATGCCGATTTAGATCCGATCATAACCAGCCCCATAGCCAACCCAGCAGCCTCACCTATCAATAATGAACAAACAGGTACCAGTTACAATGATTCTAAAGAATTCGCTCTCTCATTTTCTTCTCTGATAAAAAAAAAATTCAACTTCTTGCATGGCGTGCAACAAGCTCTGTTGATTATTTCGTGCTGATTAACTTCTGGAACCGGTGAGATGAAAGTTAATCGAAGTTTGTGGGCTGACCTGTGACAGCATCGTCCTCGTAGAGATTAAACTTGAGCTGTTCATAGACATCCTGCCGCGCTGTGCCCATAGCTGCCAGACCGAGGCCTAAACAGCCACCATGCCGGACCATCTGCAAGAAATGCATATTCAGTATGTCATGAATATGAACACTTAAATGAATATGCACAGCTTCACTTGCTTGGGTCTTGATTTCCACGACTTTTTCATAACTTCTTTTTCCTGAGACTACTGGATTCCAGGATGCCCTATTTTTCCCAATTTCCATGACTTTTTAATGACTTTTTCAGACAACTTTTCTTCCTAGGATTTTCCATGACTGTAGGAACCCTGTCAAAAAGCTTCAATACTCACATCTGTGGTTGCCTCTTTAAGCTGACCGAGCAGGTACTCAGTGATGTTGGCTCCATGGTTGGCATGGATCAACCCCAGCGCATACAGTCCGCCCCCTTCTTGGTAGGCGCTGCCCGGTCCTGTGTCCTTGGGCAGGTAAGTGGACATCAGATTCAGGGCTTCCTTCTCGTGGCCTCGGTGGATGACCCCAAGGCTGGCCGTGGCCGTGAACTTGGCCCAGTTGGTTGCACGGGATAACCAGTCCAGGTTGTCTCTGATTTTGAAAATGAAGAAAACGACAAAATGCCAGTGAAATCAATGACTTGTCATGTTAACAGGTTTGGTAACTCTTCAACTCCAATACCCTCATTTCACTTGTAGATGAATCCAATCAGACATGAAAGCTATGCGCACCTGCCAACCTGTCGTACTCCTTCCTGAGGTCAGGCATCACCACATAATGGATTGGAATTGTAAATGTACTGAAGGCTCATTTATATACGTTTTAATCTCTTGTGAGGTATTGCCTGACAGCAGGAAGGCGTAAAGCAGGTTGGCAGGTCTGGCTATGATGTGTCTCAATCTTGTGGCTGGGACTAGGTTTAAAGTCTTGTCTGATTACAAACATGTGGACACATGCCGACAACAGAGATAGCCCTAGCCCAGACAGACTGTTCTGGACGCGGCTGTGACGACAGGTACCATCCTCACCTTAAGAAGGAATCACAGGTGGTTCCACAATGCATGAAGGAGTTGGCAATGACCGTAGCATTGTGACAGACTGAATTCCTGACCACATCCTGCAAAGGGAGAAGACACTTTAGATACAGGCTTCTTATTCCCAGGCGATGTAGGTTCGTGGAGACTTTTGAATGAAAATAAAGTAATCATGTCTGTTGCATTTTCTAAACGGCATAAATTCCAACAAACAGTAGAACTGAATTACCATAACACAGCACTGAGCCCATTTAGATTAATCTTAAACTTTTGGAAATTCAAGAACAGACCACAAAGGCTCTATAAAACTATATTTTAGAAAAAACACCTACAGTTTCAAAAACCACTAAAACCCTCTTCTCAAAAAACTGGAATTGAACCATTGCAAAGCACGTGTCCAATTTATGGGGCAATACAAGATGACAATTGGAATGGAAGACACCCTTTATATGAAAGATCAGAGTTGAAAGATCAGAGTTGAAAGATCAGAGTTGAAAGATCAGAGTTGAAAGATCAGAGTTGAAAGATCAGAGTTGAAAGATCAGAGTTGAAAGATCAGAGTTGAAAGATCAGAGTTGATCTTTCTCAGGCAGGTCATTTCTCGGCGTGTACGTACCTTGGTGTTTTTGAGGATCTGTACGTCTGTCTTGTTGCTTCGTATGAGGAATTGTAGATGGATCCCTATGGTGATGCTTCCGCTCAGTATTTCCATGAGTTTATTGAGGCGATCTGTGTATATTCTGTCCTCTTCCTAAAGTTACAAAACGGGTGACATTTCAGTGACGTTCTTTATAAACAAAAAATGCAAACAGGTTGCACGCTGTCCGAATTCAATCAAAACAGATAACTGCGCCAACTGTACTGTTAAAGGGGAATTTAAATTAATTGAAACACTCACCGTTAATTAAACCTATCCCCATGTGTTCAAATTCATCCCCAAGTTTCCTATTATTTTGGTGGACTCAGGAATTGATGTAGAACGTGAGCACGCTGTTTAACAAAAGGTGGTTTTTTTTCCCATTAGCACGATGAGTAATTACCTTAGCAGCAGGTGGCGGTCCATCTACAGGTGTGCCCTCGTCAGCTGTGTCATTAATGTCTGGTTTGCTAACGTCTGTCTCCATCGCATCACTGGCAACAGAGAGGAAGGGAAAAATTGAAACTAATGCGAATCACCAAAAAACTGGACGGAATCTAAAAGTCAGACACTAAAGCCATTGGAGGAAATTTTTGACTCTTCCAAGTAGATTAATCAACTAATCATGGCCGTTTTGCTCGGCAGTGTGCAAAGGTTACCAGCAAAAGTGCTACACGAGATGCATGCGATGTGACTGGTTCCCCACTGATTGTTTGCTAAGCAACTTTTTGATAAATGCGCTGTTTTGCTTGTAAGCTCTTGGAGACTAGGTCCTCGTGACGGAGAAAATGGGGTCAGTTTATAAACCTGCTGAGGACAAAATTTCCCCCTGCACAGAAACTGGGCAAGATGTCGTGTGGTTTATAAGAATTATCGCAGGTTCTCTAGAGATTTTCATTTAGCGTGCAAATGTGCTCAGCAGAAACTGGGCAGATTCCAGATCAGTGGACTGACCCGTCTTTGGTCTCTGCTTCGGTCATGCTGCTCGGCGTGTCGGCGACGGGGCTGGAGGCGCGAAGTGATGCCTGCACCCTGGCCAGGAATTGCTGCGTGGCGCTGGCGTACAGGTCAAAGCCGATCTGGTACGCCATCAACGTCTGGTCCTGATAGTCGATGGAGGAAACAAAATATACTCATCAAGGAGCAATTTCACTGCTGTTCAAAGAATAATTATCCTTTCAATGGTCCACTTCGGGGGAAACTTTCTTTGAAGCTGTGCAACGGGATGTGACTCACGTGACTCTCCTTGATGAGTTTGCTGAGGATGTCGGCGACCGCCTGTGCATCATCGAGGAAGATGAGACACTGACACACGCTGATGTAGTCTGGCACCGCCAGGTTCATGTAAAGACGGACCAGGAGACGCAGGACCTAGACAGACAGAATGAATGTAAGACAACAGTCTGGGATAGTTTGCTTCCAGCTGACAAAATTACGCCACACCCATTTTCTGGACTTGCCAGAACTGTTCCAACCACACTTGGTAAGCTAGAATAACGACTTGATTGGTCCGGTCGGCAGACGAAGCTGAGATAACCAAAGCTCACCTCATTTCTGAACTGTCTCTGTTGGAGGAGAGCTAAGGTGACCTTTAGACTGTAACTCAGCATGCCACTAACGTCATCCTGTCAAAAGAAAGGAAAATCATTTACTTGTGCTTTCAAGGATACTGAACACACCCAGCAAAATCGTGAAGGAAAATGGAGGAAACGGAAATTTTCTTGTGAAAAAACTTCATGTATCAACAATCTTCTTGATATTTCCTAAATTAGCTTCCTCAAAAATACACTTATCATAATTTTGTAGCCCTTTCCTTGACTGAAAACACTCAGTTCTAAACAGCTCTAATATCCGACTACCATCATAATTTTTTAAACAAAAAGTCCAGGCCAAAACAACCCACTTTTAAGGACAAAATGAGATTTGTGACAGTTTCTGGTCTAACCGCTTGCATGATGGCCTTCTCAAACGAGTCGATCCTCCTTGTTTCCAGGGCGATCCCGACAACCTGCTTGTACTCCTGGTCATCATAGCAACGCTGGAACATCCTGTCCACGACGTCCTCTAGGCGGGAGTCGATCTCCTTAGGGTCGTCAGGATGCTCCATGTTGTGCACACGCAGCTTCGTGTAATGATCAATGCATTTTGCTGGAGGGGAAAAAAAAATAGTGTCGTCCACGATTTGAAAAAAATTTTGCGAAAGAACTTCCCAAATGCTATAAAGCCAACCACAGCATTGGGTCCGATGCCACATTCTTTGGGTAATTTGATTTCCAAAGGCATCAAGGCCCGTATAAATTACCAGTTGCTATGCTTTACCTTCCTAAATCTTGTCAAATCAAAATAAGACAATATGGAAATCTTGCAATTTAATAATCCACAACAAACCAATCATTCTCATTTATTTGAGCTGGACCTTTACAAATCAGCAGTCAACTTCAGATGTTTTCCTCCACTCGTTTAAAATCTTTGGGAGATAAACTGTTTGAAAAATGTGGAAACCAACTTTCATTGACTCTTTACTCACATATTGTGGTGTCCACATATTCGGAAGACGAATTCACATCAAATAGTTTCCCAGCTCCCAGTGCATATGTCAGAGATTCCTCAAAAGCTCCTAAATGATAGTAAACCTGAACAGAAAAAGAACAGAAACAATTACAGTGAACTCAATCAGTCATGCGCTGAGCTAGAACTGTTAGTATTCCCCGTTGTGAAAGATTCTCTGAGAAATTTCATGATTTGTGATTACAACTTTACCTTGGAGGCAACCAGTGCTGCCAATTCCTTCTGTGGAAACCCAATATCTTCATAAAACATCTCGCTGAAAAAAACAGGAAGAGAAATAAAACTGTACTTAGTATTTTTAATTTGGTGAATAGGCTAATTTTAAATAGTACTAGGGGGTCCTGATCAGTTTCTAAACAAGTTTCATATTTTTCCATATTTAGTGAATAAAAACCTTTATAAGAGAAACATACCTAGCCAATGGGAATGCAAACGTAAGATTTATAGAGAAATTACTCCCCAATATCATGACAATATATTAACCCTAACTCCCTTAGGGTGTATGTAAAATCATATTGAAATCGGAGGATTTGGGACTGTTAGGGCTATCAATTGTTTGTGTTAACTACTTATATTAAACGGATCTTTAACATGTTCATGATTTTTGGTCAGCAGATTCGCAAAATGCTTACATTTTTTCCACAGAATCAGCAATCTCAGCCCAGAAGTCATCCACAAGTAGATTGAGTTTCTCTAGAGCAAAAATCTGGGTGAAATAGGAAAAAAAAAAGATGGCCAAAATGGTTCTTTGAAGGTCAAAACACCTCTGACAGTGTTAAGTAAAATGTTAATTTCTAAATTACATGTGTCCTGGATTTACAGGGCACCATAACCCAACGTTTTCTCGAAAAGAAATGAATTGTTAATTTCCTTGACAAAAATTATGCTCAACAAACTAACAGAACTGCTTTTATTCAAATTATAAAACAGTGAAGAAAAGATCGTCCAATTACCTTCAACTTTGTGTCTGGCTCATCCAGGAGGGAAATTACACCTCCTAAAATGGGAAATTCAAGCAAATTGCAACAGTAGCTGACATTTAGCAAGTTAATGGGTAAAAATGAATGACTATTGACGTACGGATAGGCCTATACAGACTTCCGCTGGTTTCATCAACTGGTCATGATGATGTTGCACATTTTGCAGTTGGAATTGCAATCAAGCAATCATAAACAGATGCACATTCGATAGTGTCTAACATTTCTGAAATTTATTCAATCCTTTTAAGCAAAGACGACATTATTATATTTATAAACAGAGACCCAGAAGCAAAAATGGACGATTTTCAAACCAGTAATGTTAGGCCCTATGGCTTGTATATTACACACAAGATCTGACTATGCTCGCCCAGTAGCCCTAGACTGGGGGCCAGTCTACTGGACTCCCTCAGCTCAGTATCCTTAGCCCCACAACGGTCCACCCAAAAACTGGAGACTCAGCAAGAACACCCTCTATGAATCCCATTTCACAAGAATGGCTCATTCACCCCATCTGATCATTGATGTATTAATATGGGCAAATTCCAGTTTGTAGAAGTACGTAAAATTTTGGTTTCAATTTGGTCCTCTTCACATCGGCCATTCGTATACAGTGATTAACTCTCGATCGTTTGACTTTATCTGTTTGGTCTGGGAACCAGACAGAGCTATTACTGGGTTTGGCATTGGTCAAACGATTGGGAGTTAATCACTGTAGTAAACAAATGGCCGATGTGAAGACAACCAAATCGAAACCAAAATTTCACAGACTTCTACTAGGTAAATGGAAATTGCCCATAGGCCTGATATTGGTTTGATGGGCATGATGGGGTGAGTGATCCATACACGCGAAAGGAGTTTCATTAGAAGGCATTTTCGCAGAGTCTCCACATTTTGGATTGACCGTTGTGGGGCCGGGCCAAGGACACGGAAGGAGTCCAGTGCAGTAGACTGGCCCCAGTCATGCCAGTCAGGGGCTATGGCAATGCATAGGCTACTGCACATGTACATGTACTATGTACATGTAGGCCTATGTAGTGCATGTACATGTGCAATGACTCAGCGCGACATGGGTTAACGTACAACACAAAAACACACGGTTATCGACTTTCCTCTTGTCATTCAAACACATATTTTTACGCAGTATTGAAAAATGATACCTGCTGATGTTAACTTCATTTTGTAGCCCCTTCACTGTTGCTTCAAGCCCGAAATTATTCAGATTTATACAGTTGTCTCGTTCGCAGGCTTCCGAGAGTTGTGCCCGAAAGCAAAATGGTGGAAATTTACCATCGATTGGCAATAGAGGGCGCTGTGTAAGTTTCACGGAGTCGAATCCTTCTCTACATACACAGGGGGCGTGACGGAGGCCAAGGAGCGAGATCTGCAGTTAACTGTTTCCGGAATTCCTGTCATGTGTGGAGTCCTGTTTCCGACGTCAACGTGGTCCGACTTCGTTGTCTGTTTTTTTTTTCAACTTACCTTGCTCTTATTGATTTACTTCCCTTTTCCAGTTTTCCAAAACAATGTGAATCTCCATCTGTGCTTGCAAACTCACGAATAATTCCTTAAAAATTTCACTTGGCCAAACATTTCCTGACGACTACTTACGACGGGATCAATGTAGAGCCTCCCCGTAATTTCCTTCGGAGAATAAATATACATGTACTACAGACAACAAAGGGTGCAAAACCCGCCCCAATATAGGACGGCATGACGTTTATTCCCAAACCAACAAGAACCCTTCTTTCAGTCCTTTCTTGTTACAAAATCACAGAAAAGTCAATTAAAACGCGGGTTTTGTATATATATTCAGTTGTTTGTATGCTTAAGCGTTAACCATTAAAGGAAAATCTTTCCTTTTTTCAAAGCAAAATCGTTTTTGATCTACTGAAATCACAGTTTGTTTCTTTCAAACCTCCTATAATCGAACAAGATATGGGCAAGTGTTTTAATTTTGACTTGCATTTTGGTCGACATTTCAGTCCCTCCACTGAAAACCAAATTCATAGAGCTGCTTAAGCACAAAATTTGCTTAAGTGCGAAAAAACCTCACTTGATAAATATGGTAACCAGCCCAAATTCAATGTGATGTATATTGTTTTGGCATTGTATTTAGGTGTTTTTGGGTTAGCATGACAACCAGATAGTTTGAGCTGGTAACTTTTGTTTATTAAGCAAATCTTTTCCCGCTTAAGCAAATTTTGTGCTTAATTAAGCAGAGCTATGAAAGTGGGTCATGTCGATGTCTACGGGGAGAAGCCGCAGCCCTTGGAAAAACGTGAAGAAAACCGTACTCGCAAGACAGCCAATAATCATACTAAATTCGGTCAACATAAATGTCATACTGTAATGTTACCCTGCGATGTACATTACAACGTAACGTGGCCTTGGTTACGGTAGAATACAAAAGAAGTGTTGCCTTAAACATCAGAATTGAATGAATACAATCGATGAAGGGAAAGTGAATAATAAACGTGTTTCAAATGACTGCAATGGCTTTCAGTAAGTTACAAGCTCACCAGGAATGAGAGTTTCTGGATCTTGTCAAATTGGCCTGTAAAGCAGCTGGTCATAGTATCCGAGACACCTCAAATTTAACATCGTTAACGGCAACACCGCAGCCAGAGGCCACACACTTTATATAAAAGGGGAGCACAGGGTCGGTCCTTGTGGGAGAAAAAAAAATCGCCTCTCCCCTCCCCGTACATCAGCACACCTTTCCCGCTTCATTTTTTTTTCTGGAAACCGTGATTAGGCTGTTAACATAATCACCGAAGTAGAAAAGCCAGAATTACGATTCATAAAAATCAAGTTTGAAAATAATAAACGATTACAAAAATATTGTACTACGGTGTACTTACAGATACATTGCATTGAAAAAAACACTTCATGTTTTGCGTGTCCGTACATACTGGTCACTGGTTGCCGGACGCAGCCTCTTGCCATGATACGACTGCAACCATTTAGTACTGACGACAGATACGGGAACCAGCTGCCAGTAAACTGGGCATCTCTCTTTACGTTCCAGCCACGTGTCTCTAGGCTCGCGATATACCACGGTGTTCTCACCGTGCAGCAGGTTTATAAATCAATACTCCAGCAAAGTGAGCAGTGTTAAAGTGATAATTTTAAATTTCTGGAGTTAGTCCCACTCAGCAAAAGTGATACCTTGAACAGTAGCTTGGCTCCTAAAAAAACATTTCCACATGAAACCTTCACAAGCAAGATTTCGAAAAGCCCCCTCCCTACCCAAAAAAAGAACGTGTAGGACACATTTTACGCACTCTGTCGACATCTTCGTCATATACCCTGAGCGCATGGAGCATTATGTCAGTGGATAAGAGCACTACTCCGTAAGCACCAGCCTGTTGTCTGCGCTGGGGGAGCCTCGTTCTCAGGCCCAATCACACAATACTTGCGAATGAGGATATCAGCATAGCAACGCGTGCTGTCGTCAGCCTGTATACAAGTTCGAGTCATATTTTAGAGTCCGATTTACGTGTACAAAGATGATTTTAATCCTGTAAATTATATGGGATACCTCCCAAGTTTTACAAGGTACTGTTGATAAGTACGAAATCTTGCATGGGCAAATAATGTAACCAATATAAGTCGAACTCTCTTCTCAGGACAGAGCAGGTGCCATTCTCCTAGATATAAACCTCATCAATGTGCAGAATTTTCCGTAGGTCGCTGGTAAGCTCTAAGAGCTCGACGACGTAATCCCCTAAAGTCTCGTCTAGCACCATTTTTGATTTCTGGGGAGGGCTATGGTTGAGCTGCGATCCTTCGATGGCCGCCGTGAATTCCTTGCGGGTCATTGTCACGCTGCGTACGGTCTGGTTGCTGGCCAGAAAGTCCGCTCGCGTGGTGTTGAGCTGGTCCGTGACGTCAGACAGTAGCAACCAATTGCGAGCCCTGTAGAAATGAGCGAGGGTTCGTTTAAACACACAAGGTCTGCCATTGGTAAGAAATTAAGAACTACAGTTGTTGAAACTGCATGCTGTAAATTCTCCACATAATTTTTGCCGAACAGAACTCACCCACACACAACAATATTCTGGTACATTCATAACATGCTTTTCAAAGGAGAAATATCCGGGAAAACCTGAGACATATTACTGTTGGTATAACAAATTTGTCTTGAAAATAAAAAAGGTAATTACTGGATTACTGTTCACTCCATGTAATGTATTTATATTACATCTGGCTTACTGCCTCCTACCTCTGGTCGTTTGGAAGACGGATGTTGTAGCTTGTAAGATGTGGTGTGTCGCTGACTTCAAACAAAAACTCTCCATCGCTTTCTTCTTTTCTTCCTTCAGGAATGTCTTGGAAGATATCACACGCTGCTAGGTCATTTGCATCTATATACACCAAAAAAAAACCCCATTCACAATTAAAGCCAAAACCCCCTTAATATTGAAATATAGTGCATGGAAGTATGTTGAACGCTCGGAGTAGCACCAATTTCCATAATTATGACAGTTAAAACATCGACCATCGAATGCGACGATCGATTTAAGGGTCTTGTCTGAACTTACAAAAAGAATGTGTTCCAGTGATGTGCCAGCGTAGATCTAGATTGCTCTGGTACGGATCATCTTCGTCTAGTTCCCACTCTCCATTAATGTCGCTGAGGTAGCCTGCAGACAGTAAACAACATTTTCCATGATTAGTCCACGCGCTAAAGTGCAGGACTTTTCAACAAAATTACAATCTGTAAACTCCACAAGCGCAGGAGATTTTGAGCGAAGAAGATGCAACGATGAAAATGACTGTTAGAGATCGATCCTTCAATTAAAATGGCAAAAACACCTAATTCCATTCTCGGCATGTGGAGATAAGTTTATGTCTTTCAAGTTAGCTGTTGAATTTACTGTTCAGAGTTTTGAGAGTAACTGGCAAGCACACTGTCAAAACACAGGCATATATCCTCCTATGACCACTTACCGATGATGAATGTTTTCATGGGCTTAGTTCGCGCCAACTTAATGGTCGTCCTGCCGGAGTAGGTCGCAATGAGCGGATCAGCGCCGTACCTCAGAAGCAGGCGCACTAGGGCCAACCAATTATTGTCCACTGCATCGTGGATAGGCCTAAGGAAAAGAACACAGGAAGCTTTCAACGGTGAGGGCGTGTATGAATTCTAGGTAGAAATTGCGCCTGTTTTCTGCGACAAGGTTTTGCATCTGCGTGCGTCAACACTCCAACGTAGGGCCTAATCAGTTCAGCCAATCGTTTGGCAGTGTAATCACATTTTTGCAGCTCAGCTTGAGTGCATCACAGAACGATATTTTTGCCACATTTCCCACCTTAATCTACCTATCCAGCAGCAGCAAGTTACCAACGTTGAAAAATGACGTTAACATTGCCTGCCACTGATTTCCTGTTGATTTTCATTAAGCACGTAAAACCTCGCTAAGCAAAAACTCTCGGCTAAGCTGGCGCGTGTAAACCCTCCCAGGTTCAGTTTCGTTTTGGCATGCGTCAAGCATGCGGTAGACCTACCTGGTACCGTCTGACGCGCTGGCATTGACGTCAGCACCATGTTGTAACAGGTGCGATGCCACCCGTAGACGCCCGTGCACGCAGCATTCGTGTAACGGAGTGTAGCCAGCGTTGTCCTTCGCGTTGATATCAACCACGTCATAATCGATACAATAGATGGCCACATCCTGATGACAGAAAATCGATATTTATTTGATAACATTGTTAGTATTACGCTGAGTATTACACCAATGTTTTTATTTCATCCCTTTTTGATATCAACACTATTGTGTTATTGAAACGTATGCTACTGACTTTTTGAGAGCAGTTTCAAATTTGAAACTTGAAACCGATAGAGGAGATGTTGTGAAGAGACTTGACAGTGTCCTGGTAACTATTCAGATCGACTTGTCCATCTTACCGAAAGCCACAACAAAGTGCAAGTGAATTTTCAAATGGATTGGCGCGATTTATTCACAAAATCGTAGCGAAAGTGCGATCCAGATTTAATTTCTAGGCTTGGCGATATTGCATCACATCCTCGGCTATAATAGGACTCTAAAGTCTCATCCGCATCGCAAATTAACAAATCAAAGGACACAGGAAGAGTGGTGGCTGTCGTACAACGCTGTGGAAGGAAAGAACCAGCTGTTCGCCCTTTCTGGGAGGTCAACATGCTCCCGTCTTCGTACTTTGTTTGCCTCGGGCACACTCGTTATTTTCTTTGCTCTGCGACGTATTTTAAATCCTGTTTTATTTCCTCATTCATGCTGGCGAGCAGAAACGTGATACATGTACACAATTCCTGACTCGACGAGGAAGGGAAAAATGCCACAGTCGACTTGAACCCGAGGTGGCCACGATATCCGTGCTAGTAGGCTCAGGAATCAAAGGCCAATAGGCCCCGCCGTGTGTGTAAACTGGCCAGGATACGACGATAGCGGGGGGGGGGGAATAATTCGAAACACCGATGCAGACGAGCGTGCCGTGAATAATGCAAGTCTGGTTATTACCTCATCAAAGCCGCTTAGTTAGATTTTACACAACACAACACAAGTCTACCATCTCGTTGATGGAATACTCTACTTGGGGTTACCAGCATTGGAGAAAATTAAGGACACGAGTGCATTAAGATTTGACAGAGGTGATTAATTTTTGAGTACGTTGCGCGCTCTGCCAAGTACAATTTGGGGGAAGATTTGATTGTACAAAAAGGAAGAGGACATTTTTAGGCTGGGAATAGTTATCCTTCAATTCCGAACAGGAAATTGCACCAGGAGAAGACCCACCACGACTTTGCAGCCGGAAGATAAAGGGAATATAACCTCAAAGAATCTTGTGTAAAAAAACAACTTTCGTCAGTGCTACAAATCGCGTCAGTCTGTCACGACAAAATCATTTAAACGGCTGTGTAATATTTCCCACGTCAGCCGATCTGCAAGTGCTTAGATAAACTATGTGGCAGCCACAATAACACGAGATTCAGAGAACTTGCCGGAACAGATCGTTTATCGCGCGCCACGAGTCAAAACCAAATTCTGATATCAAAACAAACCACATCTCTGGGGAAATATGCACGAATATCACATACTGACTCGGATACAGGTGAACAATTCCTGCACGTGACCTCGCACCGCAAACCAAAAGTGTTTGCCATCAAACCGCCAAGATCGAAATTAAAGAACCAGGAAGTGTTCAGTTGCATACTGAAAATGCAAACGGGAAGCCGTGTATAGAATGACACTAGACTCACGGTGTGTAAAGCGATCTCGAATAATATTCGGGCGGGTTTAGGTGTTTCCATCACTGTAAACGCGTTTGCCCTCCGAGGCAGTGCCTCGGCTTGATGCACCACGAGCGATGGATTTTAGCCGCGCACCTGCGGCCACAATAATTGACAAACCGCGCACTTTACGAATCCCGCGTTACGATGACGGCTTGGTTCAATATGTGTGGCAGCCCTTATGGCTAGTGACATTTTGGATGAAATAAATTGGAAATCATATACAGCGGCAATTTGGGCGTTGTTGGCTCGTAGCAGCAAAAACGGTTTGCTATTGGGCATTTTCAAATAATATTGGTAAAATAATTCTAGTGGAGAAGACAAAATCTGGCCGTAAGGGCTATGAACAAAACACAGGCGGTCCAATATACGACCCCTAAGGGTTAACAGTAAACTATCAAACGGTGGTGTGAAATAAAAAAAACCATGCTGTGTCTATACAGACTGTCCCGTCCAAAACAAAACGCCATGTAGAGTAAATACCTTCCCAGGTTTCGCAAAGCACCCGAGTTCAATATACTCACGTCATAGGCCAGTCTGGCTGCCCGGTGCAAAATGGTTTCACCCAATTTCTTGTTAACCATTAAGCGCCTCATCTCTGCGGAGCAAAGTAAAATTTCGATCATGTTAGTTCATAAAACGAATCTAAGGGAGATACGAAACGCTCCTGAAACCTGATTTGTATGGAAATGCAACGCTCATTGTTCTCCTTCGCCAAGATGCCTTGAGATGTGTTTTAGTCGCAGGTGATAGCCAAAAACCTTAGAGAAGTCTTGTGTCAGTAGAAAGCATGCTTAAGAAAGTAAACGAGATATTTCAATTCAGAAGGCCCTCGTCATCACCATGGAATAAATGGTATGCTCCACCGCAGGATGCAATGTCACAAATCCTGCATGCAATTAGAAACTCAAATAACAATGACAACGCTGTAATTGCGGCAAACCAGTTGGGTCACATCCTTGAGTCATCGCAAAAGAACATAAAAACAGTTTCTCAGTTCCAAGTTATGTTTAAAAAGCACAAAGCTTCACGTTTCGATCTTTCCATTTCCAATGGATTCAAAATAAATGGCGTGAGAACTTTGTAAACAGCTCGCTGATTTATTTAATGAAGCGGTTCCTTTTTTGTGTTGCCTCTGACAACTTGGCTTCAGAAGCCCGCTCGCGCTCACCGCATAAGTGCATTTCCTTGGTCTCCTCTGTGTCTGTTGCTTGTAAATCTGATGTAAAAAATAATAATTATATACCTATGTGTACGGGCAACGAAACCAAAACTCACAAATAATGTTCTTTCCGAAGAGTAGATAAGAGTGCAGTAACTTAAATGGTTGAACATTCTTTGGAGCATAAGCTGTTGATAGAACATTGCTTAAATCCCTCTTTGTGATCTGAAGTGCAAAGCCAACTTCATCAGCGATAACATGCCCAGACCTTCTCTCATTAAGACAAACTCCCTGACAGATAAATGCCCCCAAGTCCAGTTCATTTCCACAAAAGTCTATTTCATCTGTCTGACTGCTTCCGTGGGTTGTTTAAGTTTATACGTACCGGCTGGAGGCTCTGGCCTTACCAGCTTGACTGGGCTCGGTTCCGGTTGGGACGCAGACGGAAGACTCTCTTTAACCTGTGATATCGATGCAGGCGACAATTAAACAATAATAAACATTTGTCCTGAGTAAAAGTGAAGTGCAGAGGTATCACACCCCGTCCCCGTCTTAAAAGACATTTTGTATGTCGAATGGAAATGTGGCGGAAACAATGAATCTCAAAAAACAAACAGATAACTCAAGCCAAAAGGAATCTTAACTTAATGACGGCTCATTTCACACCAAAATAATGTGCATAATGTTCTGTCGTAAAGCTTAAAACTGTGGTTTTCTGTGCACGTACCTCTGCTTTGACGGCTACGTTGTCGTCTTTCTGTACGTCGGAGTCGATCATCGTTGCTGGACCGAGATGCTTCGTCTTAAACTTTCGCTTTCCACCCGGCTTCGCCTCTACTTCCTTGTTCTCCTTCCCGGAGTCCTTGCGATGGAGCTCGTAGGCCGAAGTAGTCATGAACTTCATCTTCGTGTAGTTGGTGGGGTCGATGACGACGTGGAGGGGCGTGTCCATGCTGGGCGATCTGGCCACGCCCTCCTCCTCCTCGGGTGGATTCTCGGTTCTCTCCGAAGTTATGCTGGTGAAATTGGATTCTCTGTCTGATGCCTGGGCCAGTTCCGTGGCTGCCAGGCTGACGTCACTGGATTTCCTGGAGACCTCTTCCGTTCCTTTCCGTCTTCTTCCCGGTGTTCCCTTGGTCTTGCAGGAGGATTCTTCTTCACCGCTCGTGGAGCCGCTCACCGATCGCTTCTGTCTCTTTCGTTCTAAGTATTTTCTCTCCTCTTTTTCAATTTCCATCTCGTAGCGCGCATTTTTGTGGTATATCTTCCTCTCTCTCGCACTTGATCCTACAAGGACGGTAATTGGGTAAAACTTAGACTCCAAAGATTACAAATTTTCACCAAATCTTGTTTACTGTGCATGCAAACAACTATCCTTGCTATTATTCAGTTTGAACACAACAAAATAGTACAAAATGTAGAGACAAACCTTAGAGTGAAAGAAGAATTGTCTTTACAACTTTTTTAACCTTAGTTCACCTACTTAATTAAAACAGTAATAATCTTAAAAGGGAGCAAAGGGTTGTTAACCTATAAAAACGTGATTAAGGTTTTTTCATTTTCATTTATGAAAGAATTCATTTATATCAAAACCACATTTTCCTGGCGTGTTTCGACATATCTTTAAAATTCCAACCGGATGGGTGAGAATGTGGCGGGGCAACGAACACGCTTGTAATGTCCCTCTTACTCGTAGCTTGTGAGTGTCTGGTTCGCTCCTCGAGTACCATGGGGACAAAGTCTTGGAAGGAGTTTCGACTTCCTTGGCTTGTCAGTCGCCGCATCTCTCTCGAGAAGCTCCGTCGTTGCCTATGTGAGTTCAAGGTCAACGCTGCACCGTCTGTTTAGGAAAACGAATCAAAACTGTATCTACTTCTCGGTACAAAACAGCAAAAAGTCGTTTCAACGATTAAGTTTTTATTTGAAAAGAACATCGTGCATTTTTCCATTCACCTTTATGGTTCTGCATCCGGTGGAAACCCGCAAACTTCCGGCCACGCCCCCTGCCTCTTCTTAAGGACAAGGAGTATTTGTCGATGAGGAGACGGTTTTGCTTCTTGCTGTTCGTGTGTGGCTCTACGACGGGGTCTGTCTGGGCGTCTGTCGGGGTTCCTTTCTCTCTTTTCTCCATCTCATTGAATCGTTTCATCGCTCGCTAGACGTTTGTGATGAGAACAAAGCAACGAGTGTTAGAAATCGTCCTTCCTATTGCTCCATGCTATCTAAAAACATTGCATGACCCATTATCAAATAACACGCCTTCAATCTCCTTTCATTAAACCTTTGCATATAATTTAGCTACTGTAGGAAGGCTTGTAAAATTAAAGACTATCCTTCAGAGCTAAAAGGATCCTCCTCTGTTGTTTTTTCTCTTTCTGTCATCTCATCGTTACACCCATTAACTTTCGTGAAGAACTCGTTAGCAGCGGTGCGTCCAGCCTTTGTTGTGGGGGGATTCAAAAGTGAATGCGGCTTATTCGATATGATGTCGGGGAGGGAAATATCAAAAGCCCTACTCGCTGTACCGACATCCTTGCTTTTATTTCATGGTGTTGTTTTCTTAGTACTCCTTGTTAAAATAGATCCATCGAGAGGACAAAGTTTTTCCCCTGCCCTCCAGATTGGCCATTGCCCGTTGGCCACTTTCTTAAATATCTTGAACATCTGAGTATAATGACATTTCCGGGTAGTTGTTCCTAAACACAATGCAGATGTAATGATTATGAATGGTCTTACTTGTAACGCCCTTTCCTCACGATCCAACAACGCAGGATCAGTCAGCAAGTCCACAGTTTGCTTTCTTTTCGGAATTTCAGCGACGTAGCTAGACGTGTTCTCCAGACGGGTGATCTCTAATGATCGCTTCCTTGATGAGCCCTTTGACGGTGTGCTCCGACCACTGGATGGGCTGACGGTCGAACTGAGACTAGCGGCCACGGATGCTGGAGACACGGCGCAAACGCTCGCTGGTGGGGTCTGGACGTTCATGGCGGCGAGGAGCTTCTTTCGAGGATCATGGGAAAATGTCTTCTCGGTTGGAGAGAATCTCAAGTGTTGGGGTAGTGCTGACAAAGATGACGTCACTTGCGTGTTTGACAAGACCAGAGACTGGGCTGCATCGGTGGATGATGAGGAGAGTTGGGGGTTATCCATGGGAGGGGCTTCTGTGAGAAAGGGAACTGTCAATTTGGCCGATGATGGGGAGTTAGAGGAGCATCGAAACACTGGCTCGATCTTGATGGCGCCATTAGTTGTCGTGAGTGGAGGGAGTACTGTGGAAGGTTTAGGTGATGTAATTACATGTACTACGCATGTGCTAGCCATGGCAGCTGTCGCTGTTGCAGACACCAGTGGAGAATCCTGAACCCTGACGAGTTTTGGGGGTTGATCCTTTTGATCGAACACTCCACGAGTGACTCGTTTCGGCGGTCCAGTGTTAGGTTGCAGCTGCTTGACAGCCGACTCTTCGTGGTCCGTCTCAGTGCCGGATGCTTCGCGTTTAGGTACTGGCGAGTTAGCTGCAAAAACGGCCTCGATTGCCTCACTAACTGAGACGGTTCTCCCCTCTTCAAAGGCCGAGATTATTTCACGCTTCCTGGACAAACCACGAACGTTCTTCCCGATCTCAGGCTTCTCTTTGCTTGTGGCACCGCTGCCACCATTTTTGTTCTCAACGCTATTCGTTACCTCTGGGGCTGGCGACGACGATGGGGAAGTTGTGAGATCAATTACATCCGTCTGGTCGGGACACGTTTCCCTCGCAGGCTTCCTCGCGTCCATCTTGCCATCGTACCATTGTCGTTTCAACATGAACTCGGCAAAGATGTTCCGGTCATCGTGATTTTCAGAAGGCAGGATTCGCTCACTTACTCCCCTGAGCTGATGAACCTTTGATTTGTCCATGCTCGCTTTTAAGCTGTACCCATGCGTGTGCCTCTTTTTCGGCTTGTCCCTGTGCTCAAAGCGATCTCTGCGCAATTCCTGCATGTGCAGCTGGTAAGCATCGTGTGGCTCCTGTATTATCTCCCTGTGTCGCTTTTGCTCTCTCTTATTCTTATCGAGGGCGGCCGCTGCGTCTAAGGCGTACTGGTCGATTTTCCGACGAATAAGAGTGTCCAGTTGATTTGGCATCCGATGATCGGGCACGAGCTGCTCGGGGCTTGTCTCGTGCAAATTAGGGGGCGACTCGTCCTTGGCCCTGGGTAGCTTCTGCACAGCTTCGGCGGTTGCATCTTGTCTACGTGGGTACAGGGATAGTGTCAGAGCGCTGTAAAACATGGGAGAAGAGGTGGGCTGGGGTTCAACGCTGGAGGAATTGTGGGTGAGATTCGTCATCGACTCGGTCGTGAAGCAGGGTGAGTAGACGCTCTGCGGCGTTAGAACAGGCATGGTGGGTGACTCGTTGCCCGACGAGTTGGATTTCTTTGGGGAAGAGTTGGCCTCACTTGTCAGGCATTTTGTGATACTGGTGGCGTTGGTAACCTGACGAACTAAAGGGACAGGGTTAGTCTGCCCGGTGTAGAGGTCTCCTAGGTGGCTAACAAAAGCTCTGTCATCTGGTATGTCAACCCTTAACGGTCGGGCTAGCTTCTCCGCCAACAAGACTTTGTTGTTGTTATTATTAGTCACGTGTGCACTGGCGGCCGGCTGTTCTGGACCGTCTAGAGGTTTCAACAGTTCATTCATTTGGGCCCCTGCAGCCATAGAGGAGGCAACCAGCTTGAGCGGCGATGCTGCACGGGCGTGCTGGTGCCCGCGGGTCGGTGCGGACGTTGTGCTCGCTGGGTCCATTCGGTGCGGCGCCAGACTAGCATGGGACGCCATAGTGGGGGGGTTGATGCTCTTGACGATACGCCTTCTCGTTTGGTAGTGAGCCCTTCTCAGGTGAGGGCTGGTCATGGTAGTGACTGGGGTGGAAGTGTGCTTGATTAAGACGCCATGGTGGCGATCTCCGCGCGATGATGCCATGTTGGGAGCCGCCATGGCGTGCGCTGGCACTTCATGGCCGGGAACCATGCGACCCGCTACTCGGTGGCTAGGGATATCATGAGTCGGTAAACCATTCGCTGGTCCCGCAGCTCCACCCTGTGCGATTACCCCTGCATGCACTGGCACAGCGCCACGGGCGTGCACCACGGGAGTTCCATTCGAACTCTGCCGTAACAGCTCCTCGTCTGGCTGTGGAACGTGGTGGTGATGGTGATGGTAATGTATGTGGTGGAACACAGGCGCTCCTGCCGCTTTAGTCGTTCGCGATCGGGACGGCGTCGATTTGGGCACCGGCGCAGGATGGCTGGTGTCCGTATGTTGACCAATGGAACGGACGTCTGTGATTCTGATATTGGAATCCGGATCTTGTTGGTTGATCAGAGCAACTGCGTGGCTTCTTCCACGCTCGCGCTCGAAAGCTAGCAAGGCGGCCCTGCTACTTGCATCTTGGTAACTCTTAATGTTCGCAGGTGTGGGGGTAGTGGAAGACGGTGCGACCATGCTGTCGAGAACTACACGCTTCATGGGAATGTCTGACGCCGAGCGCGCCATGACCGGCGCAGGACGCTTCAGTGAGCTCCGGTTTGGCTGGAGGTGTGAGGCAACGACCCCTGAGGATGCCAGCGGGTGCAGCTGACCTTGAGACATCGGGACATCCTTAGGGACGGCCGCATGCTGACGGTGAACCAGCTGAATTGGGTTGATTGCATGACCATGCCGACCGGGTTTGCCGTAACTCATCATCGGAGGTGGTCTGTACATAGTCTGTGCTGATGTCACCTTTGACGTCACCTCGTTTCCATTACTGCTGAAAGTGTGTGTGTGCTTGGCAATCATTTCGGCGTTGGTCAAAGGCATCAGTCTGGGATCTACTATAGTCTTCGGGACTTTGGGCAAGGCAAGTCTCTCCGACTTCATGGACAAGTCCAGAGGCTTATTAAGGTCGGTGGCATCGTCCAGCGACGAGTGACCCCCACCGTAAGGGTTGCCTTGCATGGCGGCTCGGTTGACGAGATTCAACGGGCCATCGTAGAGTGGATTTCGGTGGAGTTGATCGCCATATCGTGTCGGCTGCTTGGGTATTCTGGCGCGCTGCGGGGCTCCTATGGAGTACAGAGGTTTCGACGCCACGGTGGCGTTCACCTGTTCACGTGAAAGGAAAAAAAGTGGTTCATGGTTACAGGTTTTATACAACACGATAACATCCTGTAAATATCTGCTTTGTCATACGTGTATTCAGTACAAAATATTGGGTAAACGGGGAGGACGCACGGACGTATATAAAAAACCTGGACTTGCAACGCCTTTGTATGAAAAAGAAGCCAACCAGCGGCCATTTTACCGAGCCGAGTACAAAAGCGTGGGTTGGCTCTCTTTTATTGACGTCAGGAAGAACAACGGCGGGCATTGCCAGGAAAGCTTTGTATTCGGCTCGGTAAAATGGCCGCGAGTGGATTCAATGACTCTATAAGCTGATTCAGGGCATTGCAAGTCCAGATTTTACTATACTTGTCCTTGGGCGGACGTCATCAGCAAAGAGGGCTCATTAGTTACCACTAAAATTGTCTGACAATATGGAGATAGACAAAAATTGAGCCACATCGATGGAACATCACAGGAAATGCACGACCACACGTTCCGGGAAAAACACGCAGTCCATTTTTTCATAACCTTTGACATGTACAGGTTTAACACTGACGTGTGTAGGCCTACTTGTACACAGCTGTACTGACAGGACACATTATTGATATCGTGTATTGTTACCGGCTGCGGCTTTTCACTCAAGCTGGTAAGCAAAAACAAGAAGCCGCATCCACGAGACAACGATTAGGCACAATGTCTGCCTTTAGGAGTGTGACCGCATGGGCTTATGGGAGATACAGTGTAACGAACCATTTAGGGCGAACGAATGCCTTTACGTACATGTTCATAGCATAATTTCCGGTTACACCAAAACCACGATGTCGAACCACTACTTTATTTTCAACACCTACCTATCCAACTACTTAACAATGCGGGTGTTCATTTCGATGAAAAGAAAAGACCGAAGGAAAAACAAGAGACAAGTCGACGGAAATCCAAACGGAACGGTGGACGTTAACAATCGTATTGCCGTTAACAGTCCTTATTCATTACCTACTTCATCACTAATTGAAAGGACTTTGGACCTCAGACTATGTCACCATTGAAAACGATGACATGCATTCCGATCCGACGCGTATGGACGTATTTGTCAATTTTACACTTGAAGCGACAGTGAAATAACGCAAGTGGTACACCAGTGTCATGCCTGATATGACGGGAACTGGCCCCCTGTATCTTTCAGAATAATTCGAAGAAATTGAAGGTTGAACTGTACCCATAGGAAACCACTTGGTCGACTTGACAATTTGATTAACAAGAAGCTGCAGTATATTAAACACTCATCCCTAATTTGGACGTCACGATTCCGTTTAATGACTGGACAATTACCTTTCGTAAAGTTACTCAGCCCAAATTATAATGATTAAGGTGCAGAAAAGTCCCAAGTGTATGCTCTGTAGTCTGGTGCTTGTTTCAGTCGATTCTTCCAAGTAAAATGCGCATGGATTCTGCTTGGTAACATTCAATATGCAAACAAGTACCAATTTGTAGGGCAGATTTTGGTCGTACTTACCTTCTGCTGCATAGCTACAGCTTCCCTTTGAAAGATAAAGTTGGCGTCTGGCATTCCCATACGTCCCTGCTCAGCCAGCCGTGTGGTAGCCAACTGTCGCAGCCGCTCCCTGAAATATCCAAAGGAACAACACGCATTAAGTGACGACCAGTTGTTGTCACAATCGGACCTTGAATAAGTAAATTACAGAGGACTTAATTTGGAAAAAAAATATGCGGGAATAGGCGATTGTAACCGAAAGAAACGATATGTGGTATTCACCCAGCGGAAACTGCTTCATTCCACATGATCACTGGCACGGTGACGTATCGTTTGAGAAGCTAATTCCATACAAAGCAAACAACCATTAAAAATTAACAGACATTCTCTGAGGCCAACGGATGAATGCTAAAGCGAGCACGGCAGAGTACAACCTTCGTGGTCATGGCCGTTGCTCTCAGGCCAGATACCAAATTTTCAACAAACGATCAAAACATCCTCCAATATCGTGATCAGACGGTCGCCAGCAAACCACTGAAGCGTTCCACGGAAAAAGCCTCACTTTCTGCTTTGACAGACAGACTCACGCAAAGAGCTAAAGAGACCCCGATCTCACAGCGCTCTTTCCACATTAAAAAAAACTCATTCAGTCTCGACCTGATCCGATGACGTTGCAATCATTGTAACTTATTTACCTTTTCAGCTGACTGCAAAAGTTTCCCTAAGATCTGCCTGGTCATACATGGATAATCCCACTTCAACAGGCACATAATAGGTAAGTTGACCCCTATTTTTCAAGGCCTGCTTCGCCAACTGAACAGGAAACCGGTGACCTTCCCCACACACATCCAATCCAGCGCAAATTGCACAGCTGCTGCCTATCAATAGCATTCATCGATATCTTTTTAGCACCGATGTTTCAGAGTTCAAAACCAAAGGGGCATAGTAGTGTCGGCACTTACACAAGACAGGGTCAGGAAGATTAAAGTGAGCAGCCCCCGTTGCATTGTCAAAGCAAACACAAAATATACACAACACGTACACAAATAACGTAGTCATTTAGAACTAAAAAAGCAAACAAAAACAACCAAGCGCGAAAGGAATAACCAGTTCGCGGAGGGACAGAGAAAACTCCAAAAGGGAATAACAAACTACGCCGAACTACAGCAAAAATCACAATCGGATCGAATCAACTCAAATCAATTCTAAAATAATAGAAAGATATTTTGCTAGGATGTTAACGTCAGGCCAATTGTCTTAACAATGCGAGCAAACCTAAAAATAAAAAAGCTGAAGTATCCGAAGGATGAAACATTTTCGAGAATAACACTGCCACTTTCGAGTATTTTGTATAACCCCAAAACTAATTCAAGATTAAGAAACTCTAATGTCATGGGTAAAAGTTTGTAACTTGTCAGTTCCATGTGAAATTGCCAACCTGGCTGATCAAAAATCAGTTTACTATAATTATGCAAACGCTTACCCAGCTACAAAATACATCGCTACATTTTCTCTCAGAAAACTAAACGCTGTTGTCTTAGGTAACGTGTCCTTGAATTAACAAGAGATTCGACTTTCAAATAACGACGATAAATGTTCATTGTTGAAGAACAAATTACACACGCGCCGGAATTTGTCATCCAAGGAACACAGGCATCATGCTTAATGCTTTCGGAGCAGACTTTATGGCACTCAATTAACTAGACAAATTTTCATAAATTATGCAATACTTTTGTTAGACCGTGTAGGCTTGCACTATTTTGAGCAAATGAAAATGAACGAATGTTCCCTGTCCTTGATGAAAAAACCTTTCAATTTTCAGTTTGGACACAAAAGTCACGGAGAAAAAGATACTGAGAATTCAAGTGAATAAAGTTCATCTGAAAAAGAATTACCGAGCTTTTAACATAGGGAAATAATTTACCGCCGTGCAATTTGTTACTAACAAGGAAATAGGATGGCTAAATAATTTGTGCATGACCATGCACAGTTCAATTCGAGGTTAAATTTCAATTTCAAATGTGAAATATAATGAATGAACGACATTTGCAACCTGGCTATTGACAATCGACAATGGACAAGAATAGAGTTGATTTCTGGGTTTGCCCACCTTGTGATTTCCCCATTGTTACCGACGCCAAAACCCATCTCATCTCGGCCTGGATAATGCAGCATGTCTGGATTAGGGTAGCCTTCGCTGTCTTCGACTTTATACTTGGTTAGCGTCTCAGGAATCTGTGAGAAAAAAAAGAAAGAAAACATCTGAATTAATAAAAAAGGGAAAAAGTGAAATGTAAATATATTCCGAGAATTCTAAAGGGAAAGGACATCGTGTTTCGTTAATTTTTAAATGAAACGCCCAACAGCGGTACTTTTCATTTCAGCAATGAAGTAATTGTGTTTCCGAACAATGTAATATGACGCAGAGCCGTGCATCTGTTTCTAAAACAAATATCATCGCCTCTTGTGAGTTCTAACCAATTAATCAATAATGCCAGTAGAGTTTTACTCATAAATTGAGTTCAATATCGAAAGTATTACCAAATTTCCAAACCTTGTGCGACAAGTTGCTAAAAGTGTTTAAATTTTGAAGATATGTGAAACTTGTGTGGCCCTGACAACTTGGAATAACCCATACATGTGTGTAATTTTAAATTGAGTTTGTAATATTTCGGCACAAAGTGAAGTATTCTTAAAGGATAGTAACGAGTAGTAACTTGCTGAATTTGTATTCAGCAAGTGCTGAATACAAATTCAGTTGGACTACGCGGTGGTGAAAACGATTCTTTTCATACACCTGAAATATTGATTGCCTGGGGGTAAAAAGCCGTCACTGTGACGTCACTACTTACGCCGCAATACTGCAGGGGGGGGGGGCAGGGCCGGCCGAGCAGATGGAGGAAATTTCAATTGCTATCGCCATTATCGTGTGAAGAATGTTTACTGCATCAGGTTACCACAACCGATGGCTGTGATGGCGCATTTGTTTAGTGCACATCTCGTATTTTGGCGGATGAGATTGGACCCTTACCGCGAGCAACTTGAATTGCATATCCTCATATTTAAATTACTTCTCACTTTCCCCATTTGCCATAATTTGATCAATTCCTTTAAAAAAACCGGCAACATCTCTCTCGAGGTGCGGCTTGCCCCCTGCCCCGCTGGATATCTTCCCGATTACCTTCAAGTTCAAATCCCTGGCATTCTTAATTGCCAGTTAGCAGGTGCAACATTGAATGCACGATGAAGGAAGGTCAGTAAACTGGCCAGAGCGAGGGGACTCAAACCAGCGCGGTGATGAATCACCCATTGTTGCAAAGAGTCCTGGGGCACCGCCGGTAACGACTTCGTGTTAGTCTACAACAAGGCGAAGGCAGATCGTCAACCGACGCCAGGGCTTTCACGGTGGAACGCGACAAGCCGGCAGCTAAACTCCGCAGGCCTTTATGTCGGCACCTGGCAGAGGTACTGCCCTAGTGCTGACAAACTAAAATTGGGAGCTAAATAAGTACAGACTGCACCATGGCGATTTCTCGTATTGCATCCGTAAGCATTCCACAATATTAGTTTCCGCTTTTCAGAAGGTAATTTGTTCCATGTTCCATCAATGAGCACACACACGTCAGGACTGTAACTTTATTATCATTTCGCAAGGCTGCAGAGGTTCACTAGGTTTCCACGGGGAAAGGATTTGATATCAATGCCTCCGAAGACTAGTCTTGATAGACGCCACATTTTGACCACTAAATACGTGGACCCTGACAAGTTTCTCACCCACAGAAGAGTTCGTAATTTCCTCATGGATTTCAGTGCTCAGGTCTCAGGAATGAGGAATAAGATTAGGATTAAGAGATGTTGGCAGGAATCGTCAGCGTTGCAATAGAACACTCTGTATACATGGATTACAGATGCGTATGCGCACTTACCAAGAGGAATTTTTTAAAGTGGTTGTTACAACTACACGGCTGAAGGTTCCAGTTTTACAAAAGGACTGCTGAGGACACGGTTCACCGAGCCCAAGGCCGACTGCGCTTTCTGTCGTCGGCATGATGACATCAATAAATCAAACATCATTCAAAGGCGACTATGTTTGGGTACGTAAGCCTTGACAAAAACATTCAGGGGTCGCGTTGAAAATTTCACAAGAATTAAAAAAAAAATTCCGCACGACTCAACCCCTTCGGTGTCTTTACTGTTTCATGACAACGGTTTTAAACGGATGATCTCATATTCATTCGATTGATGCGTCATCCAACTTACAGATAAGACGATTTATGTATTTTTAGGGGCGGGGATGACAACCTTAGGGTAAATCGCACCTTGGAATCCACACGATGGTGAGGCCTTTTAACTTAAAAGCAAATAAGATCTGTTTCTGATTGGCAATGTTTCTTTCTTTCCTCTTTCCGTCAAAACACCGACTCCTCCCCTCCAAGATTACTAAAAACCCTCCACATTTACAATGTTGTTGACTACAAAGCCGAGGAGTTCAAGACATGACGAACCGAGGCGAAAACTCGTGCATTTTACCCTACTTATCATCGGCCTGATCGAACGGACACCCACAGAGATGGGTGGGGCGGTGACAAGTGGTGTGTGGGGGGAGGCCCAAAGACTGGTAACATCAACTAAACCAATTATTGTAAAAAAGACATGTCTACACCGTTTATCCTCAACACAGTGAAAGCATTATGCATTGAGTTCAGACATTGACAAAACATACATCGATTTTCCTATTAAAAAACAAAATGCCCTCCACAACCGATAAGTCACGAACTAATTCGCGATAGATATTACTCGTTTCGTATTGCAGCCATTAATAAAGACGATTTTTGTGGCAAATACTGCCTCACAAAAATCACAGATGTATTTTCAAGAATACATTTTGTCCTTCCAACAGCGGAGATCACACCCCAACCTCTTGAACTACGCGCATAAATGGCATGAGTCATTGGCGACTCGTCAGCGCAATCCATTACGCGCGCTAAACGCCATTATCGCACCAAATAGGCGCAGCCGGCTTAGGAGACAAAACGTATCACCCCGGGTCCACCAACCATCTAGGATCGACACGCAAATCGAATTATCTTCCTGACGCACGGATTGCATTCCGGGCTTCATCGTTTGTACGGTTTCGATGAAATCAGCGCATGCGCCAGACGACACAATTAGGTCACTACGGTGCGGAAGGCAATCGATTGGCTGATGATATTCAAGTAAAGTGCGCACGCACATCTCTGGACGGGATAATGTACGGGAGTGGACACGCCAGACCATGGCACTATCTGTACTTTGATTTTTTTGCCTCGCAAGTCTTGACTTACAGACAGGTAAAAAATGACTTGCCGTGGCCATGCTGACGAGACAAAATTTGCATGAATCTCATTATCACCAAACTCAAACGCGGGAACCCTGACTATACATTCTTGATTGAGTGAGACATTAATGAAGCGACGGACGGTTCACTCTACTGAATTTCGTATACATTCACGAGTCAATCACATCTTTGTAATCATTTAGATGTATGCCACTTGGAAAGAACTTCTCTGAAAGATAGGTGAAGAAATAAAACTCACGTGTGAATAAATAAAACTCCCGTGTGGGAAAAACGCAGGTCCAGAAACTAGCGAATAAACAACTGAGAACAATACGGCCGCAACACCCTTCGAGCAACCAGGGGAATTTAAGCTAGCGCTAAGTAACCGTGCCTCAGCAAATAAACATGCCCACATAAAAATATGTTAAGCAAGAATGCAAACTTCTCTTACCGGCTGTGGTGGTTATCGCTCATAATTGATTGTGATGATACTTAGCGAGTAAATCTGGTATGTAAGAAAATTCCCGCTCTGTAGCTTAGGGAGAACATTCTTGTTGACGCCCGCTCCGATCTACCAGTCCCCCTGGCGTTTTGTCGCACATGCGCAGAGCACGATCTCAAACCAATGCGCCTCTCTCGGAAAAAAAGACATGCTAATCATATCGACTTGGATACCAAGCCGCCGAGCCGGCATTCCTCAATTCAGAGATCGTGCAGCGTCTTCATGCTCCGCCGATTACCGGGTAGCCGGCAAGGATAAATGCAGCAAGGGGCGTCACCAGGCAACGCCGCATCTAGGAGACGTGAAGAGGGTAATCATTGATGGTGGGGCGTTCCTCTTCGAAATACCAGGAAACCGCGCGCGTTGCCAGGCACGTAAATGGCACCTCGACAATGGACTGGTTTGAAGCCAGCAGTACAACAAAGAGGGGGAAATCACCCAGTTGAATTCTATCGATGTTTTATGTACATCACGGTTCTGTTACGAAGTATTAGTGTTAATTACAGACTAATGCGGCACAAGTATAATTCGACACTTCGTTGGAATTGCTCGTGAAATGCGCGCCACAGGGCGCAAACCACTTAGAAGGAAATTTGAGAGACCAACGGAATTGTCGGCTTGTGTCTCCAAGAAAAAAAAAGCTGTAGCATGGCGATCATTCTGTACATGTTGCAATGTTAAAAAAGAAGGCATATCATCAAACATCCTGCGGGCGCGGAGGAATACCATTAATTGAATGTAAGAAAACAACATCGCCCCGTGAATTAATGGAAAAAGCTGGCTATTGAATCAAATTTATTTGATCTGAAGAATGTCACGATGCAATCTGCTCTGGCAATAACAATGTCACTTTTTTATGATCGCTAGCTTCCTTCAGCTGCCGTCAGGCGAGCTGAGTTTCATATTGAGTTGCAATTCGATCTGTCGAGACATGACGCATCGGGAGTCGATGCCTTTTACTTGACTTTACAGGGCATTTTAGGGAGCTGTCGCAAAACACACAAGTAATCGGAAGAGACAACCGTTTTGCTTGGAATAATCCCCAACGGTAAAGCCGCAATAATGTCAAGTGTTTGTCACTTGTGATTTTAAAACACAGATTATCCATAGAAAACCATATTCTGCTAAATATAACACAGCCAATGCCTTCAGAAACACATTTCTTAACGTGAAACAATCATTACAACAATGCACTATTTTTTTTCGAGAAACTTCTCTGTTCTCTTGCGCAATGACACATGAATACACTTATCTACTTTTTAGGATGTACAGGTATATAGGGTCGTCGCAGGGAAATGTCCGCAAGGTTGGTTCACGATCTACGCGTGACATCCCGAACGCAACGACAGTGGTTTGTCTCGGACGAGTTCGCTGGTGTCCATGCGCACTGCATCGACATTTCGTCAGTCGTACATTGGCGTTGTAATCAACGCCATCCAAGACAATATCACTATACTCCTCCAAATCGAACGCTCACTTCAAATGAAGCAGGTACGTATCAACGATGCGGCAATTGCACAATACTGTCTTCATAATCTAAAGTCCAATCTATTCTTTTTGACTGAAGCACAATTCATGAAGTCATTATATCGCAATGAGGGTCCACTCCACCTCCGACGTTCAATCGTCGGAACGCTATGTTTTAATTCTGCTTTCCTGCTTTCATCTTCAGAAAAATGACAGCGTCCCTTTCGGAATTGAATGCTTGAGTACCTAAATGGTACCGGCAACCGATGACGTGTGAACGAGACATAACGACGATGGAGTTAATATCCCCACGGCCACCTGAGAAAAAAGTCCTTTCTTGATATTTATTGCGAGAGAGTAGAAAAACATGCCACTTAGAAGCTTTTCTCGCCAAATCCCTCACACAATAAAAATCGTCTTGATTTTTCCTGCTTGAAATTTTCAGTTTCACGAAGAAAAACGGCTGTTAGTTTCGACGCACTTAAATTATTTTTTCTTTCTCTTCGCTGACGTCGAGATAATTCAATCCATATCTGGAAAATACATGACATTAATCTGCATTATTTATAGGTATTCATAAAGTGCAATATCGACGGCTATTTCGTGGCGCCGCGCGTTTCTTGAAACTTTCATTTCAAAATCAACAATCGAGGCCCTTTGCTTTACGCTTAATGAATTCCATATTAAGCCTTGTGGGTTATTTTTACGTGCCAGGTCTATAACCATCTCTGTTTCGTAAATTGGCACCACCGATGATTAAGTTTACTCTGATTTGAGGGGAAGTAGGTAACCTATACCGCTTACAGCCGACATTCTGAAAAAAAACCAAACTGTGCAAGGGTTGCGACATTCGTTACCAGGAAATAAGCTCAGTAAATTCTAGTTTTTCATGAGCCAATTTCCGCTACTTTGTCACTGTTTGTTATCAGCTATCTTCAATACACGCAGCTCTCTTAATGAGTGAGCCATCACGGTTAATAACTTGAATACCAGCTCGGCCACATTTAACGTGATTGATATAGCATCCAGACGGCAAAAGACGGGCCAACTCATGACGTCATGTCCACTAGCACGAGAACCTAGCTAAACCGGCTTCGGTGACATCAGATTACGGGGGGGGGGTGTTGCTCCGTATTATTAACATTTTTGGGGTCGGTCGAATTCCAGGGAGTCTTTTCGTGATCGATGCTATTTTCGTCATCATTAGAAACCGCTGAACTGAAAAGTGGCCGGCTGTGAGAGATGACACGTTGCGCCTTCATGCAGTTGGCATGCTATCCCACGTCTAGCAAGCCCGTTTGCCACGTTGGTCTATACGCACCCCATCGCAGTCGTTCCTGAAATTTTACACAGAACAGAGCGGTCGTTCCTGAAATTTTACACAGAACAGAGCGGTCACTCTATACGAGAATTAGTGGTCTCCCTTTAAAATAGCTTCACAAGGAAGGCTACACGGAAGCGTGCACATAAAAAAACATGAATTTTTATACATTAACTCCTTCGATAAAATACGCCTTTATTTTGCTGCGGGTCATTGATTAAAAAAAAAGGAAAACATATGGAAGCTTAAGTCACGGTCCTTGATAAACACCAAACTGGCGCCATTGAAACTTGGCGAATGACACCATCATGATCTTGCAAATTATGCGTAGGAAACCAGCCGATCAAGAGGCCAACGATGTCGACATGTCGCCGCTTCCCCCTTCCGCGGCAGAAACGACACAAGCGTTCGGGTGTGCGTTACCAATTGACGATAATCATTTCCAGTCAAGCGAATTTCCATTCCTCCTGTCAAAGGTTTATGTCTCAGCAAAGCACAGATTCCCGTTTATGCGTTTTATCCAATTCAGGAAACCGAACGCGACAAACATGACGTAGAGAGAACACTCGTTTTTGCTCTTATCAGACCCACGGGACATATCCGGATGAGTCTTTCTCAGAAAAGAACACGACGCAGGGAAAAAACGCTTCACGATGATAAAAGTGGCACATTGTAGACGCATAAAATAGTTTAAACAAAACGTTAAAAAATGAATCAAAGAACTCTTTGCAATGAAGGAAATGACACAAAAAGTAAAAGCGATATAGGCAATATCAACCAATTTAAACTTACGAACGTGAAACAATGTAACTTCTGCCAGCCAGTCATGCATTATTTGGAACGATCGTGTAGCGCGGGGTTAGCCAGTCGACACTTGACGACACTTGTTTTTTTAATGTCCACAACGCCAGCGCTGCACGCAACGACGAGATTCCGCCTCATATTGTGACTTCATGATTAGCTTACAGCAGTACCGTTCTTGCAGGGCACTGACAATTAACCTACCTCTCAACATGACTGAGGACTCAATCCTAAAACTCTAATGTTTCAAGTGTCGGAGATGTCCCTGCCGCGTTTGGACCGACAACACACACGCAGCACTGCTTCGCTTCCCTCTAGCCCTTTCCGCTCACGTCATATTGCGATGGTTTCTCCCGGCGTTGAGACAGATGATCAAGCCACCCATTGACACTCATTTATGCCGCGAAGGCTTCTATCAACATTTGACGACAGTCATTCACAAGAACCCGCGGAGAAACGAATGCCTTTTATACGCTGCTTGCCAAGGTTAGGTACCCTGGTGACTGAAATTGAACCATGCGCTCGGCGAATATCACAACTTACCAATTCTACAGGAGTATCGCCCATGAACAATATGTTGCAATTTCAAAAGGGCAGGCGAAAGCAAGGCAAGCCCCAACATTTGTCCATTGTCTCCAGAGTGGTTTTATAACCCGTAATGCCTTTCCAGTCTGACGCGGCTCACGTGATGTGCCGCAAACACAATATCGCAAGCCACAATATCACGGATATGTAGTGAAGCACGTCTCCTACTCGCTACAGCCTCCGCGTCTTTGTGATTGGCGTTCATGTCCTCGTGTAATTCTATCTACGCCCCCCCCCGTGAGCGCTGCGTAATCATCCACAGAATCTCGCCCAAAACGGACGACGCATCAGTTATGAAAACATCGTTCCCTCCATTCTGTCGACCGGTTGATCCAGCGGCGCATAGTGTAGGGGCAAACCTTGGGATTTTCCGACATCATCATTGCTAAAGTTGGAAATGTACAGCAAAGCTCTGCAAACGTTCCCGAAATTCACCGCCGAAGAGTCCGCATCGCACTAAATTCACCTGGTGTTCCAATTTGGAGAAACATATGGCAATAAGAATATAAATCAGTGGTACGTGAAAAATGCATGAGATTGAAATTAACGATCGGCAAAACGCCCCCCCCCCCGTGATGCAGTATCAAAATGACCTTTAGCTCTACATACACCAAAAGAAATCGTTCCGCATGCGCCCCTCCAAAAAAATACATAAATAACTTTGAAAGGTGCATATAAACAAACAGACTGAGGGCTAAGGACAAACAGGTAATATCTAATAAAATTACAGACAACAAAACAATCAAATTTAGGTCGATATCTTGATGGGGAGGTAAACCCCGGAAGAAAAAAGAAAAAAAAACAGAGCAAAGATGTTTAATAACAGATGACGTCTATAACAATAACTCAGTTGGCAACGATTTAAACAATCGGCTGTGCATACAAAATTCCAATCGCCTTCCAGAGAAAGCTTCAAAAATGAAAAGGACTTTAAGACAAATTACAATCAATTAAGAGAAATGGTAAAAATAGCAAACTGCGAAACAAGCGGATGGTATTATAAGTTACTGGGTCGACAAAAAAGTCTCAATGCAAAAAAAACCAAAACCAAAAACAAAAAAAACAGCCAGCAAAGCTAGACACAGAAATGATAAACAAGTACACCACTCGGCAAGCGTTCATAACAGGTTTCATTATCACTTTGTCATTTGCATGTCTCAAAAACAAGTAGATGTGAAAATGAAACATTCTGTACAAGAAGTATAAATGAAAACAATATAACACTGGCCCATAAAGTTTCAATCAAAAATGGGAAAATTGTTAACAAACAAAAGTTGCAATCCCAAAAGAGAAACAACACAACAAGAAGAAACAAAACAAAAAGAAACACACGTGACTAGCTAAAACAAAACAGACCCCCCAAAAAAATCACAAGGAAACGCGCTGCACGTAGCGAATTGCGCAAGTTCGGAAATGATCGGTGCACGCAATGCAACAAAATTTCACATCGCAAGCCTTATCAAAACACACAGTAAGAAAAATATGAACCAAAGGGGAATATAGGTCAAACAGAAAGATAAACAAAAGAGATGCGCCAGCAGAGAATACACCTGGCATGCGGTATGGAAGATAACTGACAGGGTTGACGGTACGCATTTGTAATGCATCAAAAAAGTAAATTCACACGCATGAAACACCCCGGTTTCCGTACATCTGTGGGATTTCGAGAATGCATCAGAAGGAAAATCCTTCGGCGCAGTGAACACACTTAAAGGAACAATAAACCGTGAACTGAACGACGACTCACAATTGCCGATCACCGATGCACGATGCCATCAAATTTGTCATCCTTTTTTTTAACCGCAGAAACATTCAAAATTGTTAACGATGAATGAGCTCAGAAAATTCTATTCGACCTGAAGTCGGCTGAACACCAAGTAAAGATGTGCCGTGGTCCAAATTAATTATGCAAATTATTTTTCACAGCGTTCCCATTAGCAGAAAAGTGTTTTTCATTCTCAACGAACTAACGCGTGTAACCTTAGGACCAATACGATAACACAGGCTATTCAATCACACGCGCTACATTTTGAGATCGATTTCAATCACCAGTAAGGAGCAACTTACCCCTTGCACGTAAAGCGCCGTGGCGTAATGCAGACTATAACCTAGTGCCTGCCGGAGTTGATCATATCATCATCCCTACAGCCCGGGCTGGCTGACTGGTCATCGGCGCGGCACGTCCACCGTCCACGTACTCTCTCACAGCTAGCCCGAGTTCGGTTTCGCGCTAGCTCTCGGTCATTAAAGCAATTGCCGTTTACTCGTCAAAGGCAACTGAAGCTGGCTGGGCGCACACCTACCTCAGCGCGCTCCCGATGACGTCATACCATCGACCGCTCGCGCTTACTCCGTAAACACGCTTCTCTGCTTTGATACTGCACCAGTCGATATATCCATGTTTCAGTTTTCCGAAATCCTATGCTGAGTAATTTGCCGCCGAAAGGGGTTATGAAAATGCGACCCACACTCCCGGCACACCATCTCTTTCCCAAACCTTTCCATACACCCAACGAATATGCATACAGAACAGGCTATAAAATGCACGTTCTATTTTATAGAATACATGTACATGTACATGTAGGCTACTTACAAAAATCCCCGTTGTTCGATTGGTGGGTCGTGGATCACATGTCAGTGAATTATCCGTTCAATTCAACGCTACCCGTTGAATAGAACTTAATTTGACGTGACTGGTTCCGGCCTCCCCATTCACAAGCCTATATCTCATTCCCAGTAAGAGAGAGAGAATAATGTAGGGACGGCAACCAGTTTAACACTGCACGGTACTACCAGTAGGTGGCGATCGGACACAAACCTGTTTGATAAATAACCGTTTGCTCTCCGAGCAGAAGAGGATTTTTGCAGGTATTTTACAAAACAACTAATGAATCTTTCACATTCGTGCAATGGTGAGAATAATTGCCTTCAGTGACAGATGAAATGTTTGATTCCACGACGCGAATTATTCTTACCATTGTACTCATAAACATTCGGTATTTTTAAAACAATATTTCTCCACAACGAGGGACATTTTCTTTGACTTCGGACGTAAATCTTGTTACGCTACACTAAAAGACTTGGCGTGAGCGGAATTCCGTGACTGGGCAATATTTGTCAGAAATATGACTTTTGTTGTAATAATTAGTTATAGCGTAGGTGACTTATAACATACCAACTAGAGCATTGTGGCATCATGGGTATTAAAATACTGTCGACATGATGCAAAGCATGCCGGCATTTTGACGACGATGTTTACACTCAATAGTAAACTGAACTGAACAACGTGTCGATCAAAAACACTATACAATCGTCACGGCAATATCAAGGTAATTTCAACTAACCATCGACGGAACGCAAGACGTAGCACAGCGTCGAATTAGCGAGCTCTCTCCTGACGCTCAAAACCGATAACCTCTGGGATGTAAGCGATGAAAATGTAATCCACCGCTCGTACACAGACACAAGAAAGGGTTCAACGTGAAATGCAAACGACGGTAGCTTGCGGCCAAGCGTGTCGAATGTGCCGAAGATGGCTATCCACGAGATTCGCTACGAATGTCGCAAACAATGCCCATGCTGAATCGAAACCCGAAGAGCAGAATTCGTGGTCATTTTCCACAAGTACTTGATGGTACTAACCATTAATGCAGCTCGGCAACACTGAATGAAGTATTCCCTCTGAGAGAAGGAAACCGGAAAAGTTTAAAACGCGGACGATGCTTCGTCTTGTCTCACCATGCAATCCGCGAAGCTCAAAGCATATGCTTTTATGTCTCAAATGCCAGCAAAAGGCACTGCTATACCATTGGGCTGCGGAGATAATAAGGTCAGCCTACCAGCAAATTCAACACAAGCAATTACAATAATTAATTTCCAAGCGATCAACTGATTGGACCGTCACCGTTGCCGACACACTATCACACACACACAATATACAGTTGCTGAAATGAGCAAAATTCCTGTCAAAGTCCCAATATAACAACTGAATCGCTGTAGGAAATTACACCACCGATTCTGGGAAAAAATACACTTAAAATCAAGACGCGGAATTTCCTCGATGCAAATGGGTTTTCACAATTAATTTTCACGCTTATTCAAAGCGACAAAACGTTAAATTAGGGGTGGGGTAAGAAATGATTTGCCGCAGGAAATGACCAAATGGCATTAAAAGCTGAACAAACCACTTCCACTTAATGATCATCAGCTTAGACGTTAAGCGCGTGTAGGAACTTTATTTCAACACGCCTTTTTCATCGACATCCTCGGCCTGACGCTATATTTTAATGGCAAAGGAAAACTGGGATCGATGCCAATCAGTCAGCCATTAAGGAAGACAGCTTATCTTATTATGATAAGGCAAGATTACCACATGTGCAATACTTCAGAACGAAAACCACGTCAACTGGCTGCCTTTACAGCGCCTGCAAAACATTCGTGCGGAGCGGCAGCCGACAGCGAGTCCTGTGACTTCCAAATCATTCACCTGGAATACACTAGCCCGAATAAACAATGTTCGTAAACACACAATGCTGAAATAATACTTCAAACACTCAATCTTTATAATTTCTCAATATTTTGGCAGATATCTAATCACTTGGAGATATACAGCGGCGCGGTAAACTACACGCGATTTTGCGCTACATAATAAATTAAGCTATAGCCATTGACGCTTACACGTTCTATGCATGCAAATAGTCGTGGCTCGCGCATCGCTCAACTTAGCATTAGCCTAGTTAGATCTATCCAAAATTGTATGTTGCCATGAGAACCGGTGAGGCGTGTTGTCAGTGAAGTCTCAGACAGCATGATACAACCGTCGACGTGGGAGAGAACACATTTCGTGTGAGCCCACCAAGGACATTAACAGTCTACACGAGTGTGAGGAAAATAAAAGAAAAAAAACCCCATACACATATCAGGGGCCGGGGAAAATGATTGTGATTCTAACAGACAACAATTCCTTTATTTACTGATTTCAGCGAATAAAGTATCGCAAAAAAGCGATACGACCAGATCTGTGGGCCCTTACGTCAGTGAATTTCTAATTGAACACTCAAAGCCATAAAATCTATGCTACGCAGCAAGTGTATTAATCTCATCCAATTATGCACACAGTAGAAAATGTAGAAAATGCGGTTGAAATTAACATGATTGTACCATCGCCAGTTGCGTACATAATGTTGGTGCGTAACCGTGCATCCTTACCGGCAAACAGACATATGGTCAAATCAGCCGTGAAAAGCACATGACCCGCAGCGATTGACACGCTCGGTAAAACATTCCCACGATGAAACAGTAAGCTAGTTTGCCACTTACGAACCGACTGGGTCAAGTCTACTGCCTCTTCAACCTTGAACTCAAATACATGTACTGCAATGTTTTGCAGTGACTACCATCTGCCCAGCAACGCAGAATACACGCCGCCCCCGGGAAACCATGCAGATTAGCTTGAATGAATTTATGCAAAAGTATTCTCTTCCGTGAAGGAGACAGAGAGAGTTAAGAAGCACCATTAATTGGATCGCTGGAAACCTTGCACCTTGCAGGTTCATCTGCTTGGGGAAATTCGCACGACAGGGGACATGTAGTCCATAGGGAAACAATCCTCTTGATTTAATTACGCGTGCACAATCGCTAAGTTGTAAATAGGAAAGGGATGACACTTCGGTTTAGTTTTGACGTCTTTAACATGTAACAAGGACTTCATCAGTCGTTCTCTAAAAACAAGATAGGTCCGCGCGCTAGGTGGTATCGCGGGCCAGTTCTCGATGTCGCATTTCGCTCCGTTTTCATTTTTTTTGGTCACGACTGGAAACGCTCCGATATGCATTGCCCTGTGACCAGTTGATGGATATTTTGGTTTCGACCGCCACGACCAATTTGAATCAACACTAGTCCTACTCTTTTGGCCGAAGGCCACTCACTAAAGCGAAAGTCTGCTGACTTCGTGCTAGTCCCCTTAAAAATTATTCAAGACCGCAACATTGTATGAGAAGTGATAAGGGGCCTTGAAAAAAGGAGAAAACATGCTGGAAAACTAAATGATAGACACTTTAAGCACAACTTTTACTTTCAAAGAAATTGTGTCAAAAGCTGAAGTCATTTTCTTCTCAAGTACGGTACTTTTCCACAGTGGATGGGAAATGACAGTCGGAATCGTGATAACATCTGAATTCATAATGGTTCGTTAACAACGACACCAGAACCGCCAAAATGTCGCAGTGTGTTACACGTGAGCCCTTACTCGCATGCACAACGTGCCAGACAGGTGACTGGAAATTACACAAACTTTGGCTCCAGACATTGCCACCAACTGCAAAAAAGATGGGAAGAGCAGTCAGAAAGGTGACTGGGCGACCTCAATTACGGGTTTGCGTATCCCCCCGGGCACAAAGGAGTCCTTGTGGAAGAGACTGGTGAAAAACGAAAAAAGGTCGAATGGAAAAACCAGAAAAGCACCCAAAACAACATTCTGCATGACATCAGAAAGAGCAACAAACTATTTTCTAAAGCAGAGTGGCAATAGACATCCGTTTGGCTATCTGTAGGATACAGTCGCGAAGTACTACCTGTATGTTGCTACATTTTAAATCTAGCCTTGACAAGACATGCGATCCGTCTGGCCATTTCAGTCCACATACAGAGAGCAGCTCCACTTTGGACAGAAATTGTCTGAATCTTTAATTTGTACAGGAAACAAAGGCATAATTATAGAAGTTTCAGCCTAATTTAATCCCCAAACAAATCTGAGTAAATTACCCGAGTCTTTTTTGTGGGATTTAACGTTCAACATTTGAAAATCTGTTTGCACGCCGCAAATTTTTAACCGGCGCGAAAGGCCTCACCCTGGCTTCAATTTTACCCGTTGGCTGATCTGCGGCAGAGAATTTGTCTCCGTGCCAAAATATGCTGGCACGTCTATCGACTGCGTCAATCAGTCGGAACCATTTTGGTATCGGTGCTTGTTGAACAGTGGTCCGTAACACAAATGAAAGGAATAGAGTCTAGGATGCTTTGGCCTCGAATACACCGGCTTCACCTGACCCCTCACCACAAACAACTGGTAGTAGGTGGCGCCCAGGTCAGATCCTACTTTCAAAATATACGTCCGATAACTTTACCTCAATAACACAGGTTCTCAGAAATGATCATGAGACACGTTTCTGGATGCCATCGAAACCGTCATTATTCATTGGCAGAAATAGGTTTTTGTTTTTGAAACTATAATCACATTTT